GCCAGCTTTAACAAAAGAAGAGCTCAAATTCGCCTGCGTAAGCGTAAAAGCTACCTCGCTAGGACTAGATTTAATTAGCCAGGATATAGTCTAAAAAGTCTATTAGGCACAGCTAGAATTACTCTTTAAGATATATTTAGCTCTATTTAATTTTGGCTACTAACTCAAGTGCTAAAGAAAAGCTAAAGGAGTTATTCTAAAGAAACCTAGAAAGCTAGACTACTCTATCCTAAAGGCATATAGAGTTATCTCACTCTTAAGCTGCCTAGGGAAAGTACTAGAAAGACTATTTGCAAGACAATTAGGAGCACTAGCAGAAACAACAGACTTACTCCACCCTACCTAGTTAGGCGGGAGATTAAAGAAATTAGCAATTAACGCCGCTCTCCTATTCTATAATAATATATAGCAGCAGAAAAAGAAGCATAGGACTACTACAACTATATTTCTAGACATAAAAGGAGCCTTTAATCACATGGCTAAAAACAAGCTACTAGAAAATATGAAGGATCAAGGACTTCCCTGCTGCCTGCTATCCTAGACTAAATCCTTCCTAGAAAATAGACTACTAGAGCTATCCTTTGATGGCTAAGTAGAAGATCTACAGGAGGTAAACACTAGTACGCCCTAAGGCAGCCCCGCTTCTCTAATTCTATTTTTAATCCACACAAAACTACTATTTTAGTTAATTACAATAAACGGAAATATCTACTCCTCTTCTTATATAGACAACCTACAGATATCAGTATCTACAACATCTATTAAGAAAAACGTTAAATTACTAGAAAAAGAGACCCAAAAACTCTTTAACCTAGCAGAGGAGCTAGCAATTAAATTCAACAGCTCAAAGACTGAACTAGTAAATTAGACTAGATCAAAAAAGGATCAAGATTCTCTCACACTACCCACCTAGGAGACCTTTCAACTAAAACAGCAAATTAGATGGCTAGGGATCTACTTTGACAAAGCCCTTAAGTTCAAGGATCACTGCTTTATTAGAAATCAACAGGCAAACCAAGCCTTTACTCGGCTAAGCAGACTAGCAAATAGCAATAAAGGCCTATGACCTAGAGCCTTTAGACAATTATACCTTGCCTGCATCACTAGCGTAGCAGACTATAGTTGTTAGATCTTCTAGAAACAACAACAACTAGCTCTTAAACAAAGGCAATTACTACAAAATAGAGCGTGTAGGAAGATTCTAGGCACATTTAAGACCTCCCCAACTATACCTAGTGAGGTAGAG